GTCACAAGTGGAAGTATGTATAGTTATACAAGGCAATTATTGCCATTAACTGCCACCGGGTCATACCCAATTGCAGTTCTAATAAATGTATGTATGTATCAGTTGTCTGACAGATGGAAACCACGAAACGACTAGCTGCTATTGCATTAAAAAAAATAATTGACACCATTCAAGTAAAAAGATTGGTCGCTCGCAAAGAATGAATGAAGATCGTTGGCTGAAAGTATTGTGGAAATGGCAACCGGATACCCATCGAAGAAGAGGAAGACCTAGACTTCCGTGGGGAGGAGTACAAGAGGCAATGGTGAAGACACGATGGAACAATGAACACTACAGCGAAAGAGAGATATGGAAGGGCGAGAGACACCCTAGGAAGTAACATAACTCGCTATAATACTACTGTGTGATTTAAACGTTATTCTCATTCTTTTGTTCAATCTCCTTATACAGATGTCTCAGAACAAAGGTTACAAACCTGGAGGGCTTATAGAGGGGTCGTACATGATCACTTTTTTCAGAATGAACATGTCGAAAATATCATGTAAGCAAGTACCACACTCGCCTTTTACATCTGTTTGTGAGGTAATTCTGCATGCTCCTATGTTCTGCAGGTACATAGGATCTCTTTAACCGCGGCAGAACGTGACCGGCTGGACACTGATGCATGGATAGTTGCCTGACAATCAGGGGCAAATGTTATTTGTAACTTCGTTTTATGAAATTTCCCTTCACATGTTTATTAGCAAAAAGTGTTCATCATCGATCCTTCTTCATGCCCTAAAAGTTTGTAACATTTATTATCTGTCACCTATAGATTTTAATGACTCCTTGACGGTAAAACGGGTAGTTGTTATTTATTGAGAAAAATGTTATTAAATAGTTTGACGGATTCTTGTGTTGCAATGTCGCAATGGTTCTCTTGGTCTTATAATGAGCAAACTCTCACCCAGGTAGATACTGCAACCATAAACCCGATCAGCCTGGGATCATGTCGCAAAGTCAGTCATGAAATACAAACGGCGTATGTCTGTTTCCCAGTCATACAAAACAAATCACTTGCCTTCCGTTGAGGAAATCGGGGGAAAGGGCCTTTGGAATCTGCGATGTTAGGGCTGAAATGTTTGAGTCTGCTTGCATGAGTCTCAGCCGTACGGCAGATGGCGTGGCGAACGTCATTTCATGTAAAACACATCAGGCGCCATGGTTGCTGCACGCCATGACACGTCGTTACGAAAACATAGGAGTTTCGCGCAAGTTCAACGGCTGTTTCGAAACCAGCTATGCACTTTACCAAATTTTATCCTCTGTAGATAATTGTAAATAAATGCATATAAATGAGATCTTTGGAAGGGCATGAGGTGGGAACAAAATAGACCACACCAATCACAGGAAGGCTCTCGCTATTCTTGAATTTTAATATATCTAATTTGTGTCACTCAACTCTTCAAATACCTTCGCATACAATATACGAACAAGACCTATGTAGTTGTAACGAAATGAGGCAACATTTGATTAACATCGAGATATTCACTTTTACGACTAGCAGGAGACTTTCTGCGCTTACCTTGTCATTGCCTCACGCCCTCCACATGTCTTATTTCCATCTCGTCGCGACGCTACGTTACAGCAATTGAACCAATCAAATGCTGCAAAGTTCTGGGTCCTATTACTCATAAAAGTATTCCTGGAACTTTTAAATTAAAACATATTTTTTTCCTTAACTAGTGAGTTCTGTTTTTGACGATTAACACTTTTCAGAATTATATTATTTATTTATAGATGTGATTGGTCAGTCTCTCGTCCATCCTGTTAGTGCTGTGGTTGATGTTCTTTGAAAGTTCGACATGCATCCTACTAATATCTAATTATATCTTCGCGTGTGATTGCATCTTGTCTAATTCTCGTAGTTCCGTGGAGATATTACCGAACTTAGATTGTTGTGGGGTAGAAATCCGTACGGCGATGAACGCGCGCCCCCGCCAAACCCTCCGCGAGTAAATGTCTCTTCCCCATTGCACAGTTATCTTCAGGGGCTCGGATGCTGATGACACGTCATCTTAGACGTATAACTATACATAGAACTGTATAGTTATTGGGTAACTTCTTGTTGGTGCCATTTTTCAATTTTTAGGTCATTCTTGAAACTTTTTTGTCATTTAAGTAGTAAATTTTTCATGAATTTACAATGATACCCTAAAACGAAGTTTAGTATTATCAGTTTATGACGAAATTCACTGCTGCAGTGGACCCTGTTTTTCAATCTCTCAAAACTACACAGGTCTTCGGTAAATTCCTCGATCTTTCAAAATCACGATTGGAAGATCGATGATGAGGATTACAATTCCTCCTAAAATAAAGACTATGTTAAATATACTAGTTTTAAATAAATAATTTTATTTAAATTTGTAAAATCCATTGAATAAATAAGTATTTGTATACAAATTTGAGAGTATTTTTTGAAAAATTAGGCCGTTTTGCCCTTATTTTTAAGTCATTTTATATGTCATTTTCAAAGAATATTTAGGTCATCAGAATTCGAGCTCTGGCTATCAACATTTTCTATCTAAGATTCAAACTTAGATATACATTTATAGATCAGTGGTATAGGAAATTGTGAGAAAATCACAAATTGTGTTTTACTGTAATTTACTTTGCGCATACAATTCCTACGGTGCCTGCGACTACGTGATATTCTCTTTCTATGCAGTATTCCTAGCACATGTTTCAAATTTGGAAATGATTTTCTGATTTCCAACTTTCATTTCCAAGTTTTTAACATTCTAAAACGAACTTTTGAAAAGAAAACACAGAGTTAATTTGAACATGTTGTTCTACTTTGTCCTGTATTGTAAATGAAACTGAAAATTAAGTTCGCAATTCAATAAGACGTATTTCATGACCTAGCGTGATACAGAAATGATACATTCAAATTAAGTTTTATTTGTATCTCCGTATCTTCTGTATGGAAAAAGAGTGTAACATTCCCTGAGTTATATTACTTTTATAGAAAATTTTATCTACTTTGCAAACGATAAAAATACTGGTTTTTGCTCAACGAGTTCTACATTTTTTCAGTGAGCATCTTCGTAACTAAAGTAGTTTGAGCTGGGCTCCCTTACAACCAAATACTTCTTTGCGACTAAATTACTTTGTATCAGTGACGTGCATCTCCGCGTAAAGAACCATAGTCTACGTCGTACACTACGTAGACAAAGGTAATCTTTATTTTAGAGGCAGGAGTGAATCTAGATGCTTCTGCCCCCGCCCCGCCCCCAAGCCAACATGTATTTGTAATAACTCAATTTATTGAAAACTATTAGTACCTCCTAGTACTACTATCATAATAAATAAACGTTTTTCAAATTTAAGTTAAAATATTTTTCTTCAAAAATATGTATGGGGCGGAGGAGAGTTAATGAGCTCAGTTTGAGCTTATTAGCGACTGCACACATTAGTAAAATACAGCAAGAACAAATTCGCAATACAAATATTGCAAAGTAGAGACAGGCTCAGAATTAAATAGTACTTAATTTATAGAAATTTTCGGACATACTAGAACTGATGTCCTTCTATTTGCTGCCCTTAAGTTTATAACTTACGTCTTTACAGTTGTTGATTTCTTTGTCAAAACTTACCATTCTCCTTTGACAATCCTTAGTGTCTAGAATTTTTTCATAACCATATTTCTACTCGTATATGGTGTTTTTACAATTTTTGTGTGCCGGGCAGTGGATGAGGATATGTCGTACATGCATGGGAACTTTTCAGTTAACACATTTGGAAGGGGGTTTTCCATCTATCAAATGTACAAGAGACTATTTGCCGAGTTCAGTTCTTAACCTAGTAATAACTACTATTTTTATTATTATTTTCATAAGAAAAATCTTATATACCCATCTTTGGAGATTTTGTTGTTTCATTAGCCTTCTTAAATTTCCATCGTTTTTAAAATACATTTTGCATACTGTTAAATATATGTTCCACCAGTCCTTGAATGTATTGTACTTGTGACGGTTATGGAGGTTGACATTTCTTCATCAGGAGGTGGTATACTTTTATTAATTATAATATTAGTTTACGAATAATTTATAAGACTTACTGAATTAAATATAAAGTTTTAAATATTAGATTTAAACGTGCTGCTGTTATTACTACTTATTAATTTATTGTAGACTTTTTGGGGTATTGTATCTAAAATATTAGTCTACGAAATGTATTCACGAAAAGTCATGTAATTTACTCGTAGAAAACACATGTAGACGTAATCGTCTACGGCACAACTCTGCTTTGTACCAATATCTTCCCCACTATTTCAGCATGTTTAGTTGGAATCCGCAAATATCATGTAAGCAGACACTGATGTGGAAAACAATAAAGCCTTAGAATTTACAGTAAGTTCTTTACCGCGCAAAATGTTTTTCATTTTTTCCTACATTTTAGTCACATTTAAATTGATGTGATACGTCAGATTAGTATCTGCATTTATTTACTTAAGATGACAAGAATTGTGTTCAATTATTTCTATACGATATTTTTTACTTACCGAACTTGCTTTTGTACATCGAAGTCATTAGTAGCATATAATAACTCGCTTCGCCTTTCACAGTGAGGAAACTCTGAATAGAGGTATGTTAACAAATGTAACGATTTCAAAAATATGAAATTTCACCCTGGCTCGGCTCTTCTAAATTTAATCGAGACAAGCTTATATTTTGTAAATCAATGAACTAATATAATTGTAAATTGGTTTACTTAAATATGATACTCTTCATTTTTGCTCACAAAGTGTTCATAATGGTTTAAAATTCGTTGCCGCCTTTTTGGCGACAGATATCTAATTGTTGTATTTTCCAATATTGAGTAGCACTTATATTCTGTTAGATATTTTATAATTTTAGTGTTAGGTATGTAATATTCAATCGAGAAATAATATATTAGTCAAAATCTGGAGTGTTACCAAAATTATATCTGTAATTTTTTAATAACAGCACCAATATAGTCCATGATCTTCTTAATTGTCATATTTGCGCAGGTATATAACCATTAATTGGTGTTTAGCAGTAAAAAGGAGAAGACATTCATTCACGATCTCAACACCTAATGTATTCTAAAGGAAGCACAAAGTTAGATTTAATTATGTGTTTCATCAGTGCTTACATGACAATATCTTGTTACGATCTTGATGTTGTTCAAAATAGTCGTTTACCAGAAGGATGTTATTGAAAGCAAACAAACACTTGTATCATCAATTATACATGTACACACAAGCTTACGAAACACACTGTTTACATTGCATGTTATTCTGAAACTTTGCAGGTACGTTATTACGTCATCCTGAAGACCTTATTAGTGTTCATTGGTAATACTGACTATTCTTGTTAAACTGAGTATCAATGATTTGTTGCCATGCGTGGAGTAGTGGACTGTCATTCATAAGGACAAGGATGCAGCACACGATTTGCGCCGTACACTGTTCATTCAGAATGCGACTGTCTTTGTTCTTTGTGTTTTTTTTATTTTTTATTCATAAGCTATGTTCACGGCATTTACGCTTAAAATTCTTTTATACAAAGTATAACATATTTGCATAATGTACACTTTAAACATAGTATATTAAATATATTTATAGTTACAATCTATTGGTCCATTCTTCCTCTCTAGTTTTGTAAGTGAACTTAAAAACAATCAGGTACACGATAAGGGCAAGATGCTAGAACGTCTCTGAGCACGATAGGCGATGGGCGTGCATGGGCCACGGCGGCTGTGGCCCGCGCCCACGCGTTCACTCGCCCACCCCACCCGCCAGGTCAACGGAGCAGTGTGCGACACGAGGCTTCCCTGCCTTGCCATTCGATTTCTCGCAGCTCCACGTGTGAGTTTCCTTTATTTGACAGTAATAGTTGGAAGGAGAGACGTTCGGAAATTAGAAATTTCGTTTTAGTTTCGAGAGGAAATTAATTTATTGGTGACTAATATTATTTGTGGTATCTTAATAGAATAGAGTAAACCAAGAATAAATTTCTTCCGTCACCGAAGTGGATCGCACACTGCTCATGCTGTCAACCATCTACGAAGATGTTGGCTTCATCCTCGTAGTTTGCGAGAAATTGGCTTGCGTACTCGCCACGAAACGAGAACGATAAACATCCAAAAACATGTTTTCAACTAGAAATATATGAATTTTGAGATGTCTCGTAAAGGAATCTAGTGCCGACTATTCACAATTGTACTGATTTATTGCGCCTTTGAAAGGGTCCATGACGTTCGATATAGTCACAAATATAATTTAAACGCAGGTGTTTAAAAGCTGGAAGCAGAGTACATAGTTGTGTATTCGTGCTTATTCCACCACCTTTTCATTTATCACCGAACGATTATTTACGTTTATCTTTTCTTGCATATTTTCGTTCTCGTCCGCGGCGTGCACGCAACACGAGTGGGATTTTGTTTTCCAACTACACCCTTCAGCCCGCCCAGGCGTCTTCGTGTTTGTCAACACTTGCGAAACCCCTCTCGCTCTGGGAGTCGGTTCGACAGCCCAGAATCGCACGCGAGCTCGAGCGACTGCGCGCGGACGGGCTGCTGGGCGGGCGACCTAGTCTCGGCCGCTTCCATTCACCGTTGAGCGCGTGCCAAAATGTGCGAGGAAGAATGCTCGCGTGCTTGAGCGCGTGGGCCGCGCGGGTATTTTGGGCGCGCGTGTTTTCGCGGCCCGCCAGGTGACGCGCTGCTTTCGGTGCTGTCCGCGGCCGGCTGCTCCGCCTGCGTCCGTGTCGCCGCGCACGAGGAAAGGCAGTGCCGTCAGTTCAAGGCTGCTGTAATGTATTCATTTTGAGAGACATTCCTGGCAGAAGAGTACTTCGTGAAAATCAAAGTTAAGCAAAATAAATAACCGAATGTTTTTTCTATATTTAGTTTTCCACATCTACTTTATTACGTTTTGGAAGCGCTCCTGAAAACTCGTGTTGGTACTATTGTGATAAGTGAATGGAATATTTTCAAATTTCATTTATATTTTCTGGTGCTATATTTAGGCTTTTTCCTCCGTTGAAATGTATAGGTAATGTTAATGATTTATGTGAGTGTATGATTTAGCATGATCCAAATAGTTCTTACGCCAGATCGTTCACTGCAACTATTAGCACCATTTGGTAGGTCCGGCAACTGCTGTTTCTCCCGTGGCGGTGCGGCGGCGCCAATGAACCGGTTCGCCCGCAGTTGGCGCTCTTGCGCGCGCCTTTGCCCCGGGGCGGGGGCTTGCGTAGCGCCGGCGCCGGCGCCGCCGCCTCCGCGACCGAACTCGCCAGGAATCTGCCACGCCCACTTCCCTTGACCCACATTGGGGGCCGCCGGGAGCGACGGGGACGGGGACGGGGGCGGCGCCTGGAGGTGGCCGGGGAGGGGTCATATCACCATGGTGGCGGCGCCACGTGTCGCCGCCCGAGCCGCGCTTTCCCGCTCCAACGCCCGCGCCGGAAACCCGCACCGTCTCCGTCGCCGCCGCCGCCGCCCGATTTCTCCGCTGCGCTCGCGCGTCCTCCGCCGCCCGGAGAAACTTCTCCCCGCGCGCGAGAGCAACGGCATCGCTGGGTCGCTGCGGAAACGGGGAGGTGTCCCCAGCGCGCGTGTGCACGCCGGCCCGGCCTCGGGGCCTTCCTCTCTTGCTCGGCCTCGCGCGCCCCGGCGGACTGGAACTTGGTTCTGGACGTGAACGCCGACGTGCTTCTCCACCCGCGCGTCGACCAAATGTCTTGAGAGGCACACTTTGGCACTACCTGAGGTCGTATGATCGGGAATGTCCGTAGGCGCGCGAGTCGGCGACCGTGGAGCGCCGAACGCGCGCGTTCCTTGTCCTTCGCTGGCTTGCAGCAGCTCCGAGGGCGCCCGACCCCCCGGCGGCTGGGAACTAGTGCGACGGCCCCGAGGGCGGGGTGGAGGGGGAGGCGGCGGCGGCGGCGGCGCGCAGCGCGGGCGACAGGCAGTAGCCGCTGAACGTCCGGATGGGCTCCTCGTCGGCGTAGCTGGAGCCCGGGATGACGCCGGGCTCCGTGTGGTGGCGCGGGCACGTGTGGCCGTGCGGGCACTGGCACAGCGTGTTGGTGTTCACCTCGTCCAGCAGCTCCGGCCGCTTGCGCACCGTGAACAGGCGGCACGGTTCCTTCCGCTGGCAGCGCAGCCTCTGCAACACGGGACCACGCGCGCCTTACATTCGCGGTTGCACCCGCTACTGGAGTATTAACAACAACTAACCCTAGTCACTCTGTTACTTACGATCACACGTATGAAGCATTGCAAATTCGCGAAACCCTTCGATTCTTTCGCATCAAGTGGATCTGACTAACCAATTACAGACGATGCAATCCGCATCGGCCATGGCGCAAGTGCGACACTTTTAGTATTTTTATTATCTGCCGAATTTTTGTACTGAAAATTTGGAAAACCGCTTAGCGGCGCGATTATTTTTAATCCAATTATTGTATGTGTATTTTTATTTTCCACATTATCAGTCTTTCGGTGTTTCATTCAAACTTTTCATCGTCCCTTTTGGCCTAAAACACTTGTCAAGTTTATAAAAAGCAACCCATCGAGGCAATTCTCTAGAAAGCAGTAACGCCTCCGCCTCGTTTTAGACCTCGACCCACAAGGCGTGTCGCAAACAACTTCTTCTTAAGTAATGTAATAAAATTAATCAAGCGAATGGGCTTTACTATTTTAAATAATTTTAGTTGATTGTGTCATTGAAACGATCTTGATATGATTTTTAACCAATATCTATTGCTACTGACGAATGTGAAGTAAAATGTTGGCAGAATTGAAGTAAATTTATAGTATCCATAACGCATTTACGCTGCACCTAAAATAAACTTCGTTCTTTCCGGCAGATTATTATCTTTATCCCGAGAGAATAGAATACAATAGAATAGAATATCCTTTTTATTGGATTTCGCGGCGCGTCCCTGAAAAAAAGAGTCGTTCTAGTCTCATTTGCTCCACCGGTATCTGAAACTAAAGCGTCCAGCCTATAAATCGACCTGTCATCCTTAGATCGAACGATTCGAGAGAGCTCGCTCGCTCTACAGCCTGTGGATTTCGAGCCTCGCTCCGACCTGGTTATCTGTTCGATTTCTTCGCGCCACCCTGCAGCACCTCCATAAATCGTCAAACGTAACCTCTACAACCGGATCTGCGACAGGATATCGATAAATTGAGACAGTCGGTATATCAAACCACGAAAACAGAATCACGGTATTGCTTCTCGGGCTGGACCCGGGCCAAGTCGACCCATTCTTGTCTTTAACGTGATTGAAAACCCTGGACGTTTTTTTGCTTCAGGTGTTGCCACAAAAGTCTGCTCGACAATAGAAAATTGTTTCAATTTGTAGACTCTGTGGACAATGATACAGTTACGCGTAAGCAATGGATTCATGGCGACACTTTCTTTGATCAAATTGAATAAAACAAAGCACTCCTGCCCAATTTAGAAGCTGATTCAGTGCTTACTAGTTCTTTCACAAAAATCCATTTCTGTTTCAAAAGCTCTTTTTTTCTTGAGTTAAATACTATTGTCGAATTTCAAAATTTCATAACCTGCAAATGATGAACCTTAAGCGTTTCGTAAGTACAAGAAATGTGTAGGAAACAACTGACATGTTTATACATTTCACCCCTCTTTTTTCTGGGGGTTATTGTCCCGTCTAAAATGAAATTTTTTCTCTTTAAGCGTATAAATGTCGTAAAGAGTTCCCGGAGTCTTTTATCTCTCCGTTCGTAACATAACCTTCAATTGACAACTATTCATTTTGATAATGTGCTCGGATTCACTATTTAATTGTGATGAAAAATGTGATGTTTCTGCTCGTACTATAATGTCTCGCCTAAAAATATGCAAGATAATGTAACTCGGCAAATGCACCAAAATTGGCATTTTATGCATAGTACAGGACCGCTATGTTTATGTGCGTAACACCCACGCGAAATGTGCTTGCCTTTATCCTCGCGTTGTTGCACTTGCACCGCAAGAGGCGCGTTGTGATACTTACGCTCTGCGGCGAGCAGGCGAAGGAGTAGATGAAGCCCTGCGCGCCGCCCTGCGAGTGCGGCTGGCGCTTGATGAGGTAGGCGACGGCGCCTTTGGGGCAGTGGCAGTTGACCAGCTGCTCGGTGGCGTTGTTGGGCGCGCTCTTGAGCGTCCACGTGACGTCCCGGAAGAAGCGGCACTTGGGCAGCTTCTTGATCGGCTCGCACAGCTGTCGGTGCGGGCAGGAAGGGCGCAATTAGACGACCATTGCGCGCGCAATAAAGCCACCGCCACCGCCACCGCAGCAGCTCCTCCTGCCATCTGATGCTGCTGCTGCTGGGCGGCGGGGCGGCGGCGACGCCAGTGGGGGAGTGCTGTAGTGGTTGTTGCTCCGGAGTGGCTCTGGGAAGGATGGGAACGACGAGCAGGGTTTAGAGGAATCTGACGAAGGACTGTTCTTTTCCACCCAACAGAGGGAGAATCTCCTCATGGGGAACAGGGTCGAGAATCACTTCGATGTCATTCTAAAATGAATTAGTGGAGATTAAAATATGCTTTGTGATTATAAGCCATACTTGCAATGGATGTCAGGTCCACTGCTCTAAGTTGTCTCTGATGAATTTTTGATCCCGCAACTACGCCGTTTCGTGGGCGCGATGTTGCGGTTTTGTTCGAAAATTAAAAGATTGCTGTGTGGGCAAAATGTAGAGATTTTTATTATAATTGTTTAATGCAATACGCGGAGATACAAAATCCCATCGACTCGCTCACAAATCAGGCTAAATCTGCGAGTCGAATGAGAACTCCCCGAAAATCTTCGTCGCGGATGTCGGCGTGTTCCGGTAATGTTTAAGGTAGGCGAGCGCGGCTCCGTCCGAATGAGGCGTGGGAGTGGCGCCGGCGGCGCTCTCCGAAGCCCGGCAGCCCGGAAATGAGAGTTTAGGAGGGGGCCATCAGCTTCCGGATGTGCCTAGCGGCGGCCGCAACCTGTGCTAACGACGGCGCGGCGCTGCTGGAGCTCGGCCTCGGGCGTCGCGCCGGCCGCCGTGCGTCCGGGACGAAATCCTTCCCATCGAATGGGCCGAAATGTGCTCTCTCCTCTGATGTCACATGGAAATGGCAGTAGCTTTACAGAGGTCCATGGGTTGTGGAGCAAGTGCAAAGGCTTGAAAATTTCCAGCGTGTCTGAGCATTCCTCGTGGAAATGATTCTGTATAATCGCAAAGTATCAAGTTAAATTAACGAAAAGTGTTGTAACTGATATATACCATACAACAATATAATCACACTCATCAGAAGGACAGAATTCAGGTGCCTGGTCAGTTTTCGTACCACGTGCGCGGCGAAGCGAAGCGGCGTTTGTGAAAGGACCACAAGACGAAGCCGCGAAGAGGAAAGGAAACAAGGAGTCGAAGAAGCGGACTTTAACGCCCCCACGCGAATGGCGAAACGTCCGCCGCGTCCGTCCAGCCGGGCGCAGGGGAATTCCGGAAAGCGGGAGCAGAATGTGCTGTGTAAGCGCGCGGCGCGGGGCGCGACTCGCCTCGAAGGCCCGAAGGGCGTGGGCGGCGCGCAGGGCCTGCGCGGTCGCTTGCCTGCAGAGAGAGTGTTAGAACAAGAGGTCGCTTTCAAAGCTATTGCTTGGCTTGTGCTGACAAAATGACTGCGGTCAATTAGCAAATGCGTTCCTTTAGTTAGCTCGTTTGTAAGTGGTTATCATCGCCATCTCTTCCAATGCTATCGTTCTACATCACATTAATTTGTTTCCCGACCTGTCAAGCTGGTCCCTTCTTAGAGTAACTCTTCCGTATTTGGATGATACCCGACGGAGAACAGATAATTTCGAAATGTCTTCACGAAAATGTGGTGTGCGTGATTTTTGATGCGTACGATTAATGTACAATTGCTTCAGAATTTCTCGATTGACAATTTCACGTTATGCATGTTTCAATATAATCGAAATACTCATTTGTAATCGCACACAGAGGCTTGCTGAAAAATCTTGTGACCTCGAAGAGTCAAAACCAATGAGGAGACTGATTTATTGCAGAAGTCGGATAACATTGCTGCATAAAAAGACAGAAATTCCTGTAGTGTTTTCGGTCATTTAAATGTGTGACAACGTTGGTCAGCGACGACATAAAATTGATACGTTAAGAGCCTAGAACTGACACGTGAAGGTTCCGCACAACTACGCTCACAGCGTAGTTGGGCGGGTGCCTCGTAGATTGACATCCAAGGAAATACGACCCCCCAAGGCCTCTTCTCGCAGCTATAAATCCTCAAGGAAGCAGCAGCAGCAGCCCGCGCTCAGAATCCGATTTGAAATTCTACCTCCGCGAGGCAACAGGGGGCAAGAAAGGAAATCGTAAATCGAGTTCGGAACGGCGGCGGCGGCGGCGGCGGCGGCTCGGTACTGTCGCTGTCGAGTGCAAACGTGACCGCTCGCGGACGAACCTGGCCGCCGCCTGTGGCTGACGGGGACGGGCGGTGGTCGGAGGCCGCCGTTTGGACAGCCCTCCGCGCGCCTCCCGATGGTAATTTTATTCGGGTGCCTGCGGCAGCAGGCGCCGCCACCGGAAGGAGTTCATCTCGCGGCGGCGGCGGAGGCCTCGGCGTATTGTGCGATGGCCCGACTGCCGCGGTCACCGCACACTGGCGTACTGTCCTCCTCCGCAAATGATTGGGATAAGGATCATGTTGGCTGTGAAGGTGAAGGCTACGATTTTGTTGAATGATCTCATAACGTTTCTTGTTTTTGTGGGCATGTCCGTTTGGTCACGCTTGGCATGTGTTCGCGTGAATTCGATGAATGTCGGTATTAGATCGTTCAGTCTAACTTATTATATTATGCAACATTACATCTTATTTATAAAAAAATGTGCCCCCCCCCCAGTTTCCATTTTAAGAGATTACTTCATGATTTAAACCGTAACTTTGCAACCTAGTAAAATGAGAGAGACGTATTTTCGTGTTGATTTACATGTTGTAGACGACGTTACGCCAGGAACATTACATTACGAAGCAAATGGTAAAAACTATTCCAGGGCAGAAAAGTCGTATCTCACGAATAGCTTGATACTATCAGCTTAGAAAGTAACCAATCCATCCTCTTTCAGAAAATTGTCTTAGAAGTGTTTAGAATTTAAAAATCTGCGTTTACAGAACTATCTTATTCAACGTCAAAATATTTCATAAGGACGTCGTTTTTGATGTTTGCAGTTCGTGCCTTTCTGCAAGTACCTGACGTTCTGACTCGCGTCCACATGTGTATCGACACACGTTGCATTCGGTGAATTTTGTGTCTTGCGCCGCACGTGTCTCGTCGGTGAGCAACGCCGCCGGCGGCGCGGCGCGGCGCGGCGGGCCCTCGAGTGGCTACGGGGACATCGCGTCCGCCGCGCCGCGCCGCGCGCCCGGCCGCCCGTGACGCCGTGTGCGGGCCCGCGTGCGGAGTCGCCGCCGCCACCGCCGCCGCAGAGCAAACATTCCTCCGGGCTCGATGGCCCTACGCTTCTCGCAGGCAGCCGAGCGCGAGCGACCCCGGACAGTGCCGCTGCCGCCGCCGTTGCCAGCCCCCCGACGCAGCTCTTCATGAACCCCATTCCGGCGCTTCCACTCTGCCCGTCGAAGCGGCTGCTCCCCATTCTCCACTCGGTCACTATCCCCGACATGACTGCTGCTGTGGTCACTGCTCCCTCCACGTTGCCGTCTCTCATAGAAAGCTCGTTCCCATTGACGGACCCTTGCCTCCTCCTCCGTCGTCGCTCTCGCTTCTCTTCGCCTCTCCGACGGATATCTTCACGCGCTGCCAAGCCTTGCGGGCGCGGGCGCCTGCCGATCGATCAAGTGCCCCTGTCAGCTTTTGTTTGCCCCGCGGTTGCTAGGGGGACTCTGGATGTTCGTAGTTGCGTTGTTGGCCTGTGAATCATCCTTTCGACTCACCGGCCACTTCGATTGCGTGGACATTGTTTACCGTTATTCAGGATGATGCAAGTCGTTTATTGTCGTGACTCTTTTACTCACGTGAAGGGAACACCGTATTAGCTGTCGAATTGCTCCTTGATTATAAGTAAATATATGCAGTGTAACGAATTATGTAAATTCAAATAAATTCTAATGCAACTGTCGTTATTAAAGGTGGCATGAAATATTGTGAGCGCAATCCCATTCAATTAATACACGCTACTGTCTTTTTTACTACTCTTTATCAGTCAGATGTAAAATATATGCAGGTAAATTGTTGTGGAATGTGTTGAAAAATCTCTTCGTACTTCTCCTCGTTCTGCATTAAGATTCCGATGAACCGGTTTTGTGATAATTAAAACGACAGTTGCATTCAGCGTCATATTTAATATTGCATGACTCAGACCTAATTGGAAGCAGCGTTTCATTGTTCGTGCTTCCCCGCGCGCGTCTCGGCGCCCCGATCGCCCGCGCTTCCGCGAGCGCACGCGGCGTGTGGGGAGCGACATCGGCGGCCGAGATCCCCGAGAATTTCCGCCGCCCGCCCTTCCTCCCACCCGCCCGCTCGTGCTGGTGGCCCGCTGCCCCGACGCGAGTCAAACTTCGTGCACGGCAAAACAGAGGTAATGGGTTAAAATCGTCACTTCAGAATCTTAACTTTCGGAGTTGTCTGCCATAAAACGGCGGGAAGAAAGGAACGAAGGAAGAGAGATTCGAGCTTCAGAGAACCAAGCTGCCGGGCGGAAGATTTTCATCTACGTGGAAATTAGCATTATCGAATGAACTGAAAAGATGTGAAATTACTCAAACAATGCAAGAAGAGTATGCCCAAGTTCACGTTTTCGAGGAACAAAAGTCCACCAGTCCGGGAAATATGATCTGCCATCCTCGATAATAACCAAGCGGTGTAATGGCCGAAGTTATTCAGAGAGACGATCAGTAGAATTTGAGCACAGGCACGGAGCTACGGAAGGAAGCGCAGGTCGAGTACTAGGCGAGAAATGGGAGCTCCCTGGAATTAATCGGACAACATTGAAGTAAGGAAATCGCTGGCTGTCGGGAATAGGCGCGTAAGTCTTGGGTTCTGTAATTATAGTGCTAGATCTAGCAGGCGCGGGGCGGGGCGGGGCGGGGGGCGCTCGTCGCTCGCGGACGCAACACACGGCCTCCTGCGGCAGCAAAGCGACGACGCTCGCGCCGCCGCCGCCGCGGCCAACGGGGATTCCTGCGGCCTGACGTCACCGCCGCCGCCTCTTTCCCCGCTGGCGATTCCGCCCCCGTCCCGGCTCGGGACCCGCGCCCGCCCACCTCACCGCCCGCGCTGCCAACGAGGCTGCTGGGTACCAGTGGGCGAAGCGCTATTGCCGTCCGGAGAAGATTTATTTTTGTCGACGCAGTCGTCACATTCCTTAATTAGGTACGCCTGAATGGCAGCAGCTTACCCGAGCTCTGTGATCTACTCTGACGAGTTATCGAATATTAATGCTTCTAAACATTGATGCTTAAGAGTTTCACATTGGCTTTAGGGTGACGCGTTTCTTTCTCCTGGGCGTTCGAGGTCATTGTTTCAGAGGAAACGAAAATTTGAGTCTTTTGATTTTTTTTTTCTTCACATTGATTTCGTTTTTGGAAGTTGTATGACCCCCATTCCAATGAAAGACTACACTATTCAGAGTGAAACCAGTCATGATCATTTTTGCATTGAACTGGGGACTAAAATATAATGTATTTTTGAAGTTATCGATGTATATCGATTAGAATCGATGTATGTAATGAAAAATAATGCCACCCACCATGCCACGCGTCAGTTGAGTAAACAGAGTAACAATTTATAATTCCCAGACGATATTCATTGATTACGAAAAATTAGTTCTTCCTCATAGTTGTCAAAGTGTACCTTATAATACGTTCATCCAGGAGGCATAACTCTCGACTCGACGTTCATATGAAGAAAACGTTCATGATAATGTTTACGTTGCACTCTCGGGTAATGGTTTAATCCCTTTTCTTGTTCCGCTTCCGCTCTGTGGACATCATCCCATCCTATATATGTAGCTAAAAAAAATACCTTCCATGTCCTATAATCGTGGGAAATCGCAGTGCAGTATGACGGAAACTGCGTCACTCCGGAAGCAGCACCGGCGAGGATCCACGGCGACGGCGGCAGTGGCAGCGGTGGCCGGAGGGCCATCGTATGACGGGCAGTTCCTCGTTAGCATCTGCCGGAGTGCGAGGAAGGGGAGGGGGATCCTGCGGCGCTGGCGACGACGCGGTCGCGCGCGCGGGCGCAGCCTGGAGGAAGCGTCTTCTCCGATTGCGGCGCCGCTTTGTGCGCGTCGCATCGCAACACACGCTCACGCGCCGCCTCGACCGACACGTCACGCGCGTGACTCACGCCCGGCTGGCGGCCGCCCGAGATTCCGCGCGCGGCGCCCAGGTGTTGACTCCCACAAATGCGCGCTCCATTTCGTATTTAATGTTGGGGACTTTTCCTTTTGCTGTCGTTGGCTAGCAAATGTTTCAGTCGCATTGGAAGGGCACAGATCTAATTGTTATGTCTCGAAACCTTTCTGGAATAGATTTTGCGAACATGAAGTGTAGATAGATCCCCGCAATACTAGAAAAGTAGAAACATTTGAATGGAGTAACACAGTTGTTCCGTCTCCTTGAAAATGAAGTTTCCTTGCAGATATTTATGATACATATGTGATTCATTGATTTTGTAGTGTCAATGGTATTACCTTTATTTCCAATTTGTGGATGCACTTGTACTAGTGATTTTTCACTAGTACATCGGAAAACGTACAACATGAAGTTAGAGCGGAGAATCGAAACAACCCACTGTATGCGTACGTAACCTTGGATATCCAATTTATTTGTTTACAGATGTGCTTTATTAAATTCTATAACTTCATTGGCGTTCACGAATAATACAAGTTACGTTTTCGTTTTCCGGAAAGAGTAAAGCTCTCCCGTCGTCAAACAAGACCGCGTCGCAGCATCTGGTCTACGAAGTGCCTGGTAGCAGGAGAGACGTGCTCGTTGAATTGAGACACTTACTCCCGCGTCTTCGATTGTATCAGGAGCGTATTTCCGCCGCTGCTCCTGGAAGGGCCGCGTGTTTCCCTCGGAAGTGGCGCCGCTTATCTGCGCCTCGATCGGCGCTCGAACTGAGTCACCCCACGGCAGAACCCGCAGGTGCGCGCGCGCCCTCGCGGCCAACGGGCCAACGCCGCCCGCGATATCGGGTGCGAAGCAACGGGCGACGGATGACGTCGGCGAATGTTTGGACCTAGGCTACAAATGTGGCTGCTCTTCGCAGATGACGTAACATGAGGTTCGTCGTTAAAAGTGTACCTTTGTGAGTATCGGCGAACATTATTCGTTGGATGAAAATGTGTGATGAAATTTTGGCAAGAAATCGTGCATGTTGAATGTCGTGATAAATTGTTATTTTTACAATGTCGTACAATCTAATTTATTGCTTAATTATAAATGGTATAAAAGAAAGGAAAACAGAGCAACAACCGTTGACATAATCCGTACTACACTTAGTAATTTTAGTCCACAAAGTTAAATTCATTCATTAAAAAAAAGAAAAAATTCTGACACAGGGCTAATATTACATATTTTTCAATGCCTTGTATTCCTTTTAAAATGAACATTTCTCAAAATTTGAAGAAGTTTTGCTGTCATTTGTGTTAAGGGAATTTCACCATTGAAGTGTAAATACAAATGATAATAAATTAAATTTCATTTCACTGGAAATACAGTTTTAAAAAGGAACAGTAAATTAGTAGCTTATTTTTTGATCAGAGACCCTGGGAAAGGCGCGTTGCTGTTTATCTCACCTTGAGGTGGCGCGTGCGATCGGTGAGCGTGTGGCCGTCGGCGGCCGACAGCAGCCCCGAGCACGCCTGGCGGCCCGGGCAGCGGCACTGTCGCTCCACCCACGGCGCCTCGTACAGGTCCACCTTGCTGCACACCGCCCACGGCTTGCACTCGGGCAGGTCCTCCTCCCGCGCCTGCAACACGCCCACCACCACCCCATATCACTATCTAGCTGAAACGTTTCTTTGTCTTCTCGACAAAATTTACTTCTTTGCCGGAAATTGTCCAGTTATATTGTTTTTCTGTTACGAATAATGATGTTCAGCGAAAAGTTCAATAATAAACCGCGACATCTCTCTGTAATAAATATGAAATAAATGACATGAGAATGGTGTGGAGAAACACAGCGTCCAGCGACACAGGACAATTTGCCATGAAATTGGTAATAGAGGATTGAGCCGCAAGACAATGCCGCTTTCTAGCGTAATTTATGATAGAAGCATTGCTGTAAGCTGTATTACAACACAGCTGAGGTGGCTACTGCCCTTTTCTTTTTTTCTGGTGTAACTCAGAAGCTGAAATAAACAGCTTGAGCGTCTGCTCGAACATTTCGTTATACGTTTTAACCCGCGTTGATTCACTGCTCAGCGTCTGAGAACACTTTCCGCCGAGGATCCTTTTCTCCAGCCGGCATTTGTCCGACGAGTCGTTCCTTTCACAGCCCCCACGGCCTTCTGGAATACGCGGCGGAGGCGTGGCCCACAGCCGTCCGAGGAGGCGCGGCGCGCGCTTGCAGGGCTCCGGGCTGCGGGAGGACGAAATTTGTGGGCCGCCCCCGCCCGGAGGAGACAGCACCGCGCGCCTCGACGCGTCCCCCTCCCGATCGACGCACAATGCCACTGCAGGGTCTATTCCTCAGCCATTAGCATAAAGTCTATTAAATCTGTTCGGCTACAGCATTAACCACCCCTCTCGGCTTGTAGCTGTCAGCCATTCAGGCGCCCCTGCGGCTGCTCGGAGCCGCTGGCGACGCGCACCTGCCCCGCCCGCCCCCCGCCCCGGCCCGACACCTCCGCGGCCGCGCGCCGCTCCAATCATCGATCCATTCATCTTGGCTCCGCTTCCAGTAGCCGGCGCGCGGTCGGGGGTCGCCGCTGCGCCCCTCGGCGTAACATCAGGCGCGCCGGGGCCCCCGCCCTCCGGGCCCCTCGCGCCTCCCGCTGAGGGCGTAAATCACGCGCATCGTCTCGCGGTCGAGCCCCCGCTGGCTCCCGCCCACCGCCCACCGCCCGCCAGGCCTCGCCCCGTCGCCTCCGGGTCGACGCGCGCGCCGGGCGGACGAGCCGGCGAGCGAACGAACGGACAGACCGTCGGACGGACAGGCCGTTTTACTTTCTTTTTAAATTGTGACCCGGGCGCGGGTTTTTTCTTCGCCTTCTTATTCGGGCTTCCTTCGGGGGAGAGGTGTGGTCGCAGGGTAGGCGCTCGGCTGCTAAATCAGGGCGCAGTCGCCTGTAAATTACGCGGCGAGAGAACACGTTGTCGCAGCACACGTGTTGTTGCACGGGAGCAGCGGTTGCGCGGGGTGGACGGGGCGAGCCGAGTCGGCACGCTCGCCCCCGGGAGGGGAACGGCCGGTGGCGACGAGCCGGGGATGGCTGTCTGCATCCTTTCTTAGATGCCCTCCTTGAACGTGTTCGTTCCTCAACGAAAACAAAAGTGCTCTGAACATGTTCAAATTCATCGCCGCAAACGGCCCCGCCAAGTTCAAGATTAATACTTTAATGCGCGAGACGTGGTGAGGAATCTATATAATTAAAATGTCCTTTGTTTTGATAATTATCATATACAATCTTGTCTCTGCTAGTCTCTTGACCACGGAGCTCCTAGGTTCGAGTCCCGACAATAAGGGGTTTTCGAACACTGTCTAAATTGGTCGAATTGAGTCGCGAAGAATTCTTCTGAGGGAAGACCACCCGCTGCATCCTTGCGTAACTTGCATCACTTACGGCAGTAATCACAGTACTAGTTGAAGTATCCGGAAAAATAAAAATATACACTCATTCAAGGTAGCTTATAGTGCATCTCGTTTTCTCAAAGTACAATAATAACAGTCACCGTTGTTATAAACGTCTTATACAGCTTATACATCTGTCACACCACGATTGATCATTGTACTCCAGTAACTTTCTGGAGCTCTGTAAATACTTTGCCTCCTCAAATTAGGCCAACATACCAAAATACATATTTTTAAAACAATCTAAACATTTTCACTCATTTTCTACGCGGCGTAAAGCATGCTAACTCGTCCCTGCCATTAGCTTGCGGTCGCCGTGACTCTCGCCAACGCGAAATCGCGGAGTCGCGGCAAGCCCTCCGCTGTCACGAGGAGTGCGCGCGGCCGCCGCCCCGCCCCCACGCACGTGCGTGTCCGAGGCCCGCCCCCCGCCACCGCAGCGCGGCGCAACTGGAGCAACGGCGGGGCCACGCGAAAAAAATGAGAAAAAGTTTTGGGAGAGCTGATCCTAAGAAGAAAAATGTCGAAAGAAAGAAAAAGAGAGGAGTGGCCACAGCGTCGTCGTCGAACCGGACAACGAGCGCTCCGTCCGCCACCCGCCCCCGCCCCCGCCCCCGCGCGCCGCACGCAAACCGCAACGCACTGCCCGGCTCTGCCGCCGACGCCCGAGCGCGGTTTTTGCGCCCGCGGTGCGGTCACCGCTGCCTCCCGCTCGGAACAATGGACGGCTCGTAGCACGTGGCGATGTTCGCCCGTACGCGAGTCGCCACTGGCTCGGGATGGATCTCGTCTGGATGGCCTTCCGCGTTGCTTTTGTGACCACTTTTCTACTTCAAATAATTTCTTCGAATACATGTATGTTGCTTAAGGAACGAGAACATGACGCAAGTGAAAAATGCCTTTAAAGTTGTGTAGAATGTAGTTCATTTGACGATTGTAATTCCTGTCATCCTCATTTATTAATTATAAATATGTGAAATCATATACTATTGCTTGTCATAGTTCTCCAATCGTATCTTAATTGCCATTACCGTTTGATATTACTTTTATTAAACGAAACGAATTAGTAATTCAAAAAACTACACAAATACAAACAAAAAAAAAAATCATACACAAATGTCCAGTCCTTTTTCCACGTTCCTATACTTCATTGTTTACTTCCGGATTCTTAAAAAAAATTATCCATATTTAAGATGCGCAAGGCTATAGAGAAACAAGCGATAGAGTGAAAAGAGCCGATGTGCGGGGAGTCGTTGGGAGCGCGCTCGCGAGGCGTCGACTGCGGCCGGTGGGGGTGGGGGGCGGGGGAGAGGGCGATCCCCGCTGCCTACTCTGCCGTAGCGCGCGCACCTGCGGCGCCCGCACAAGAAACTCCCGCCCGTTCCTCGAATTTTCCGTGAGATTTGCGAACCATGACAGATTTTTAATTGCCCCGAGCGCGCAGCGGTCGTGGCCACCCCCCGCCGTCCCCATCCCCTACTCTCGCAGCCCCCGTCTTGGCTGCCCCTGCCCAAGTCGGTAGTCATGTAAGTGTAACATATGCTCTTCCTCGGGAGGTGGGGATGGTTTTCCGCCGCGGGATGGCGAGATCCGACATCGATCTCCTGCTGGCTAGCTGGGATTTCCTCAACGGGGCATCTCCCTACCCTGGACTAGCTCTATGCTCCCTTCGGCATGTGTGGTGGTGTAGTGCATGTTAGTGCAAGTGTGCGGTGAGGATAGGGCAAGGAGGGCGAAGGAAATATCGCGCGCGATCCGATTGTTAGGGTACTGCTCCAGCATTCGCCTGGTATTGATTAGAGAAACCACGTAAAACTACCGATCAGAGCAGCAGGCCGCTAAAAGTCTCTCCACACCGCGACTGAACTCCACCTTGTGTCGAAAATCCTGTCATCGTCGGGACTCAAACCCTAGGGCCTCCCAGACGCGCAATGAGATCAGTGATGCCCTGAGCCACCTCTCCCGGTCCGCAGACCTCGTCGGCGTCATCACCACCTCCACCGGCCGCCCGCTCGCCCGCGCGAGGTTATCTGTATCCTGTTGCCGGCGCCGTCGCCTGCCCCGCGACCATCCATCTCACCCTGGTAATGGGGCCTATTTTTTACGAGTGGTGCGCTGAGGCCCGGGCGCTGGGAGGGGAAGCGGCAACAGCTGAGCGCTCGACCCGCGGCCCAGGTGCCCAGCTGGGTCGGCCTCGACCCACGCGCGACCTTCCCCCCCCCCCTCCTGGGCTCGCCGGGCTGACACCTGCCTAACGAGGGTGCTCCTCGCAATATTGACCTTGTCCGACCCAATCGAGCGGCCGCCTTCCTCCGGTTCGCCCCTGGCAACTTTCGCAAATTGACTGCAATAATTCCGCTGTCTGGCAGGACTCTCTAGGTATAGATGTTAGAGAAGTTCAGTATATTTCTCTCCCTCCTGCAATACTTTGTTGGGGAAAATTAAGGAGAGTCTTAATTCATAATTTTTCTGCGTTACTTTTTAATCATTATTTAATGTTTTCATTACAAGGAAGCTGAAGTATCCGTTATGTAATGTACATATAATTCACGTTGTGGGACTGTGGGTTGTTTGAATCGTTGTAAATTTAATATAAATGTATTTCAATGCAGTAAGATATTTAATAACTAAAAAATGTTCCTTTTGTAATCTGACTGAACTAGAATCAGTTTGCGGTAAAGAAAATATTATTCGTCGTTCCAATTACTCTCAGAATATAAATATGTCACTTTTCTACATGCAATTGTACGAGTAGTGATATATCCATCGTAGGGGCAGATGAGAACCAGGTCATCCAAGAATCTTGGATTTCTAACCATCCGACAATCATCAAGTGATAAAGTCATGGATGATCTTAATGAATATAACTTCATGTATTCCAAAATATCTTTGAGGCAAGATTAGGTCCAAGAGATTATTCAATAATATACCAAAACAATAATTGTAGATCGACCCTCTGTTTTCACTAGTGTCACGATTTTTCCTCAGATATATCAATATGCAACACACAAAGATGGAAAAGCGCGCGTAAATTGGTACCGGAAACGACACCCACGCGCCTATTTTCACGAGCAACGACGCCTTTCGCACCTTTACCCGCTCCTCCCTCTCCCGTCCCTCACCTGATGCTAAATCGTCACTCGCAACTGCAAATCTTTTTCGTTCTGCCATGGTGGTGGATACCGCGCGTTCACTTAAAGCTGGCGAGCTGCTCTCTAGAATTGGCCAGAAGAATATCATTTGCGAATTCTCCAAAACACACTGATTGCATCTTTCCAGTTTATTAGCGCATTTATTAAGATCCGGTATATTCCGGCAAGACCCCCGTAAAGGCTATACGGGAAAGACACGCTCAAACCAATGCGGCCACCTTAGGTTTCGGAAACATATTAGATTTGACAACTTGATGTAGGTGATCTAGTAATCTGTTCGTAGGCATCAAAGAAACAATAACAAAAGCCTGCGGGTATTCTCATGTTAAAATTTTTTATTTGAACTTTGCAAATTCGTAATAAAAATATATTTTGCACGTATTAGTGTTGACTGGATCGTCCATTTCGGGCGTGTGAAGTGACCTTAAGTGAGTGACGGTCCGACACATAGGTCTCAATTAGTATAATGATTCTTGACCCAAATATCATCAGTACCCGTAAAGACAGCATACCACATTGATGTACAGAATATTAGCAGTAAAGATTTTGATATTTTTCTTAACCCCTCCGTCATCTTACGCATATGCGAACATTTGCATAGATCTAAAATTTATTTTATTGGCTATGAGATCAACGTGCAATATCGCCTGCACTTGCACTGTGACGTAGATCAAACCCGTATCAACCCGTAAGTAGCAGCCGCCGCGCAATGCGGACCACCGTTCCGGCGTATTGAGGGCCACAGCGCACTCAGGAACGCGCTGACCGCTGAGTGTAATCGCTGCAGGTCGTCGCATTACTAGCCGCTACATTGTTCGCGACCCCCGTAATCTAAGTCACATTGCTTGCAATTTTTTTTTTAACCTTCAACTACGGCTTGAGATTAATATCATTATTCTGTTTCTTTTCAGGTGAGTATGAGTAATTTTTGCGTCTCGCGCACGAGCGGTGCCGCTTTGGTGAGTCTCGCGGCCACTACTTCTGCATTTTTCCGCGAAAGCGGCGTAAACTGTTCGCGGAACGGGCGACGGCGGCGCGGCGCCGGCCTGCTGAAAGCACCGCGCGCGGGAGAGGGCGACGGACGGCGGGCCCGGCGTGGGACGAAGCGGCGGCGACGGACGAACACGCGAAAGGCGACGGAAGAAGACGGGGGGAGCAATGGGGAAGAGGAGAGCCGGCACAAGGGAACGAATAGGATGAGAGGAGGAAGAGTTAGAGAGAATGGACGGTGAGGAGAGAGGCTGAGAGTGTGGGTGCGGGTTGGGAATGAGTGCAGGAAATTAAAATTGAAGAAAAAAATGAAAGACGCGTGCATAATTAAGAAAGCCACGTGTATTAAAGAATTGAAACGCCGAAGGGGTTTCGACGTATCGTCTTGCGAAGGAAACATAAACACCGGTCATGGAAATTGGCGCGAGACAAGAGTAGAGGTAGAACGAAAGAAAGAGAAGAAGGCATTAAACAGAGATGAGAGGAGAGCAGGTGGCGCAGGTGTCCCCCTATCAGGCACTTCAGCCAAGTGTGTCATTGCACCGGGTGACTCGAGCAAAAAACACCCAACGCCGGAGCGCCTTTTTCTCCGCGGGCCCTCCGCTCCGCGCCCTCCTCCTCGCGCCCCTTTTTGTGCTTGGGTGCTCGAGAGGCCGCCGCCTCCGCCTTCACCGCCGTCAGCCGCGGTTTGTTGCTGCTTTTTCCGCCCGCGCGGTGGTGCTATGACGCAACGCCCTCGCCGCCGCCGCCGCCGCCGCCGCTTCTTGCGCCCGAACCCTGGTTCCCGCTGGGCGAAGCCGTTAATGGTCGCCGCTGTTTTCTAAATCGCCGCTCCGCCACTCGCGCGTGCAATGTCCTCCGAAAATAAACAAAACGCGCGAGGGGGGGGGGCGGCGCAACGTTGCTTCCTCCTGACGAAACTTGGCACTGCTTCGTTGACGGCCTTCTTCCTCGAAGTCTTTCGCTTCGAAGCGACTTTTAGTCAATGATGTTTCATTGCGTCATCAACACTCGAAACTTGTTGGTTAGCTTGCCGTATCGCTAGTTGATTAAGAATTTCTCAAGCATTTGTAACAATCTACCTACAAGATTCTTGCCAGTTCAAGTATAACATGATTTATATAGCGTAATTTATATGAGATTGTATTCACGAGTTAGTAAACACAGTTGCCATTCTCGCGTGTGATTTCTATTGTTTGCATCCCGTTCGGGCCTATCAAAATCTGTTCGGTTCGATAAGATCCTTACGTTTGACGTGCACCAGCACGGAATGCGATTCTAGACTCTGTAGGCTAGTACTTGGTGTTTTAGAACGCGATGCATTCAGTTCAGAACTTGCGTATGTGGTACAGTCATCGTCCATTTTCTCTCGCAAAGTACGTCGATTATATCGCTGTCACGTACGTCGGAGAATCACCGTCAGGCACGACGTCGGTGACACCATTGTTTGCGAGATGCGGAAGTCCTGACATTTAAGAGCAGCACCAGCCCCGCCGGCGCGCCCGTCGTGGAGCCGTGCCCGTGCGGGTTGGCGCGTGTTCCCGGGAGGCGGGAGCGCGCACGAGGGCGCGCGAACACGCGGGTGGGCGTGCGCCGTCAGCGGGGAGCCGACCTTGGCCAACGTGACTGGGCGCAGGCCGTGAGCGAGGCAGCAGCGCCTGCGACGGCGGCGGCGGCGGTGGTGGTGCCCATGGCGTGCGCCGCATACGGAAGGACTCGCGCCGCTGCCGCGCCACGTCGGTGCCGCTCGACGATCGGAACTGGCGCTGCTCGTAATGCGAAGCGGGCCCGAGCCTCCCTGCGCGCGCCGCAACCCGCAATACGCAGCGGCTTTGCGGGTTGTATATCGGTGCAGGGGCCGTGCCGCGCATGAATGGCGGCAGCCGCCGCCATCGACGTGGCCTTGCCGAAGTGCGCGCGCCTGCACTGGCTTCCGCGACCGCCCGTGCGGCTCCCTCCCCGGGCGTGGCTCCGCGCGCCAATGCGATTTTGGTCACGAACTACGCTCGACGCGTACAGCCTCGCGAATCCCTTGTTGCGCGTTTCGCCTCGAACGCGGAGCCTGTGAAAATGATTCAATGGCAATGCTCTTCTCGCTAGTGCTCTCGTAATGTAGCTTCCTAAGTCTGTGGATCAAGCGGTTGTTTTTAAATTGTATAATTTGTTTTAATAAGCGTATTTATTTCATATTTTACATCTACTAGTAAAACTCTGGAGACTAATTGAAAAGGCTACCCGAATAATGAGGGAGTGTACAAAGCAAGGAGCGTAACGTTTACTACTTAGTTTGACTGAAAGTTAGTCGTAACGTAGATCTTAGAGAACTGACAGGGAGGGCTAATGTTCGCACATATTTTCCCGATAATTTAGGAGGTTTTCTCCATATTAAACGCATGTTAGTGAACGATCTTTAGAACAAGAAACGAGACTAAATCCGGCCGCTTCCCAAGGTCGTTAGCGAGTGCTGGGTAGCAGTGCACGTAAAATGCAGCGCAGTACAGCGATGTCAGCTGTGCACCCGAAAATAGTGGCCGAGGAGTTTATTCGCGCCCACAGGGGAGGCCGCGGCGCGCGATCGCCAAGTAACCACGCCAGGCGCCAAGTGCAGGGCCACGCAGGGGCTGCCGCTCTCGCGCTTCCAATTACAATGCAACATTGGTAATTTCGTAGAATAGTTCACATTTTTTTAACATGCATTATATACAGATGGATAAGAAAAATCTGGTAACAGTTTACAGTCGTTACATTCATTACGAAGCAACGAGAAGCAAGTGGACTCGGCACGGTGTTCTTCTCTTCGCCATCGCTCGCCGTTGGCCTTTCTGCGAAGGGCATCGGACGCCTCCACGGCTGGGCGCGTGCGGGCGGGGCGGGGCGGGGCGGGGCGGGAGCGGGAGCGGGCCGCGACACGTGACCCCGCTGTTTGGCGCGCGCGCAATCGCCCGCCCGGCGCCGCCACCGCCGCCATCGCCGCGCGGCAAAAAGCCGACTTCCTTGAGCCCGGCAGGAATGCGCGCGCGCGCGCAGTGGTGGTGGCGGCGGCGGCGGCGGCGAAGGGACGGGGGCGGCGCAAGGCCACGCGCCTGGCGCCCCGCCGCCGCGTCTGTCACCGGGCGCCGTGAGCCCAAGGCCCTCGACACGACTCCCCGCCGCCACCGCCTTGCCTCGCCATGCCACGCCCACATTTGACAGTCCTACGCATACACCATGCACAAACCATACGGTTCCACTCAGAGATCATTACGTCAATGCATTGTTTTTGACGTATCAGAGTTTGGGTTAAAACGACAGAAACATGAATGATCATGTCGTTCACAAACATTCACAGCGTTTCGCGTTGGAGGTAAAAACTACACGGAAATATTTACCTAATGTTTGAACAGGAAAGAATGCATTATTTTGCGTCAACCTATTTATACAGAAATTATTTTGAATATATTTGCATGAACTTATATTGCATGCTAGAAACAGCTGTATTTTAGCGATTGCGTGAAACAGTGACGTGTGAAATAATCGCATTTGCAGTTGAATGAAATATTAAGATTTTACTTCCTTCAAGATTATTGAACTACGAGTATAATGTCGTTTTACGTAAAATATACTGCACATTACATTTTATATTACATATTATTCATAGCCAGTTTTGATAAGTAGTACCATGGTTTTTGAGAAAAATAAATGTCAATAGTGTATTATACTGAAAAGACAGTAATTTCACTACGGTCAACGCAATTTTAGACTATGTCGATTATTATAATGAGAATCGCAAATGATTTTTCGCGATTAACTAGCGGGCAGCGTTATTTCCACCTCCGACAAGGTCTTGCCGCATCATCATCCTCGTCCGAGTGCGCTCCTAAAGTGGCGTTGCGCGCATTCCTCGCCCCGTATTCGGGGGGCGAACCCTCCTCGTCTCCCCGCCACAAGCGCCGCTCTGTGGGCTCGGCTTGGCTCGCGCAAACAGCCTGCCTGTCTGTGTGCGGCAGCGCACCGAATTCACAGAAGAGGCAGGAACGCGTATGCAGCAGCGCCCGTTGCAGCGCGGTAGGCACCCGGCCCCGGCCTCGGCCGCCGCTCCCTGCTGCTCACCCACGTCAC